GGTTGCAGCCGTCATTGTTGTTTGGCAGCCCAGGCTGGATTTGAACCTGCCACCTTAGGTGTATGTGGCTGGCGCCTTAGCCACTTGAGCCACAGGTGCCGAGCCTAGACAAATAATTCTTTATGAATATGCCAGACCCTGGGAAACTTCTCTGTTCACCTGTCTAGGTATCCTTTCTCCTAAAGCGGGAAGGACCCTGGACAGAGAGCCCTGAGGAGGATAGTAAGGCCTAGGGACTCAGTTCCTTGGTTCCTTCTTCCCCTTGCGGGTTTTCTGACCCTCAGGCCTTCTAAGAAAGTTTATGCTCAAAGTAGCCTCCAGAGGGTGCCCGCCTCTGGCGGGTGGGAAAGGCTGAGGGACCCAGCAGGCTTGGGGGGCACCACCAAGAGTTGGGGAGCTGACACTGAGGACTTCCAGCTCTCACCACCTCAGCATCGCCCACTTTCACATTTTCTCAGGCGCCTCCCCCAGACTCCGCACCCTAGATGGCAACTGGGAGGAAGCTACCTCCCCGAGAGCGCAGTGGAGGAGGAGGGGGCAGCAGGACACAGCCCTTCCCGCATCTGGGGAATGGGCGGGCAAAGCTGAGAAACTGAGGCACAACCCAGAACCTAGACGTCCCGGGTTGTGTTATTCAAGGAAGGGGGGGTGAAGGAGCAGAGGGCACGAATCGGGTGCTAGGGGAGACTGATCCTGAGGAAAATGCTCGTGGTTTATTTCCAGCCCTCACGCCCCTGCCTATAGAAGATGCTTTTGTTCTTCTGTTCTCTTTCTTCAAGAAAAAAAAAAAAAAAAAACCTCAGAGCTATTAGCCTCCTGCATTTTCATTTTTTTTTAAAGATGAGGATGGATGTGTGAATGTGTGCTCGGCGAAGCGGCCCAGCGACTCTGAGCCTCGGAAGGGTTAAGACCCTCCCCCTGCCCCGCACAAAGATGGCGGCACCCTCTTTTACTCTCCCTCATCCTTCCCCAAAACCCCCTCCCGCCCCCCGCCCTCTACTGCTACTCCGTCACTTCCGCCCCGCCGCAGCCGAAACTGACACAAAGTAGCGGGCCCAGGCCCCAGAGGGGAGCTGGGCTGCAGCTGGGGGGCGGGAGCCCGCGGGGAGCCAAGCCGAGCGCCCCCCGCCCCAGCCCCCGGCATGGGTAGGATGGGGCCGCCGGGGCGGGCGCGGAGCGCTGAGCGCTGAGGTGAGGCGAGACGGGGCGGGGGCAGCCTGGAGCGCGGGGCCAGGGGCCGGGGGTGGAGGGGCAGAGGGAGATGCAGCTGTAGCCGCTGACTTGGGGCTGGGTGGGGGCGGGCATGGGGTGTGGACAGGGAATCGGGAGTCAGGACCTGCGGTGAGAGGGGGCAGGGAGTAGATGGTTGGCGAGAAGAGGCTGTCGGGGTGCTCTAGGGTGGGAGAGACCAGGGTGCTGTCCGCAGGATGGGAGGATGGGACGCTGAAGGGGCACGTGGAGAGCAGGAAAGGGCGGGGACGCTTATGGAACGTCGGAGATGGGTGAACCACATAGAGAGCTGTGGGAGTGAGAGGAGTAATGGGGTCCGAGGGTTTAGATGCCCCGAAAAGAGAGTTTGGGGTAGGTAGGCTTTGTCTCTAGAAGCTGGAGGTCTCTGTGCCTTAGGACAGCTAGGGGTGCTGGAGAGAGTGGGAGCTTTGGGAGCACAGCTGTGGAGTGAATCTTGAGTTCTGTCCGTGGTAATGGAAGGTGGCAGGAGCTGGTGTTTGTGGCAAGTGTGTGTGGGGGATTCTTGGATTCCAGTTCCTCCTGTTTTCCTGATCTACTAGCCTCCTCTGAGAAAAGGGGTCAGGCTTCAGGGCTCTTAGATGGAAGAAGGTAGGGACCAGACCTATAGAAAGAACGGTTTTTCCTTCATGGAGCATTGCCTCCTTCCTAGGGCTATTTTTATCCCAAATGTGACTGCAGAGGGGGCTGGGGCAGGGCGACGTGGCTTATGGGCCTGACCTGTTCAGAAAACCCAGGTTGTGTGAGACTGGGAAAGAAAAGTGGTGGTGGGGTCCTCTGTTCCCAGGCCTTCCCTCCCTTCTTATTATGCCCCCACAAGGGATGAGGACTAGGCCACGCCTGCTTTCAGTGTCTCCAGGGTCTTAGAGGTAAAACAACTTTCCTGGTCGGTGTCCAGACTCCGGATGGCATGTAGCTCCTTGGTTAACTCTTTCATAAGACTTAAAGCCAAGTTGTCTGGCCAAGAGTGTTTCTTGGTTGCCTCTCTCCCTCAGGGCGGGGCTGGCTATTCGACCTGTGATGCCCACCCTTGCATCCTTTCCTTTAACCTCTCTCTCCACACCCACCCTCCCATGACTCATACTCTAGACTGGGTGGAGACCCTGGCTGGGGGCCCTGGAGGAGGGCTTGGCATCTCTAAAATGTGGATGAGGTTTTTCTTCCTGAGCCAGGCACCGTTGCCTGCTGTGTGGGGAGGGTCAGGGATGAAAAGGACTTTGGTATTGCCTGATCTGGGGTCAGGGAGGGAGTCTGAGCTTGTGCCCGGGCAGCTAAGGAGAGCTAGTGTGTGTGACTGGGCCGTGGCCAGAGTCTGTAATTATAGAGGTTGGGCAGACAGGCAGTTAGCATCTCTGGGGGCTGACAGGCTTGTGGGGTGTGCCCTGTAGGCTGGAGGCAGGGGAACCAAGGAGGAAGAAGTGGCAGGCCCTCCACGCAAAGAAGGAGGTGACTTGGCTTGGTGCCTGTGGCTCAAGTGGCTAAGGCGCCAGCCACATACACCTAAGGTGGCGGGTTCGAATCCAGCCTGGGCCCACCAAACAACAATGATGGCTGCAACAACAACAACAAAAATAGCCAGACGTTGTGGTGGGCGCGTGTGGTCCCAGCTACTTGGGAGGCTCGCTTGAGCCCAGGAGTTGGAGGTTGCTGTGAGTTGTGATGCTATGGCACTCTACCCAGGGGGGCAGCTTGAAGCCTTGTCTCAAAAAAAAAAAAAAACAGAAGGAGGTGACTTGCTGGCAGTTTCCTTTGGGCCAGGCTGAGGAACGGGGTGAAGTCCTGTGACCCTGTCTTATAAGGCCAGGCCTTATACCTGTTTAGGAGAAAGACAGGGCATTGGAAGGTGGAAAGGAGCAGAAGCCTGTTTGTTGGTGCTCCCTGGTCCTGTACAGAGTGCTGTGCTGACTGCACTAGGCTTAGATGGGAGGGAGGGAGAGGCAAACTCCCCACTGGGGGTGGGAAGACCCCTTTTCTGGCCACATTGAGAGGAGGCAGTTTGGGGACTGTCTGTGCAGGAAGTGTCATGTCTTTAATGTGAGATCCCTTGAAGGAGGTGATAATGGAAGCCCAGTAATGGGGGAATGGGGGAATTATAAGCATTTCTAGGAGGGTGGAGCCTGCTCACTCTATTTCCTGATGCCCTGCCGGGTGTTTCCTGACTTATATTTCCTCCACCCCACCCTCTGCGGGAAATTCTGCTTTCTAGTAAGCACAGGCACCACTCATAGCCACCAGGAAGACACCTAGGAACTTCTGTTGTCGCTAGGATGGATGCCTTGAGAGCTCTGCCCCTCCTCAATAGCTGGCCCCTTTCCCTGTAGGCCTTGGCTTCTGTAAATTCTTAATGTCTGCATGATGGGGGGTGGTGTGCAGCCCCCTCTTCTTTCTCAGGAACTCATCAGGGCAATAAGAGAAGAGAGTGGGGATAGAGCTGGTGGGAGTAGGCTGAGGGAGGGGAGAGTCAGGGCTGGAGAAGAGAACCTTGGGAAGGGATCTGACAGGGGATGAAGGGTGAAGGGTTTGCCCTCGGCTTCCTGCCCTCACTCACCTGTCACCTTCCTACAGGGTCTCCCATGGGATTGCTGGGACCTGGCTGGGTGAGATGGCAGTGTGTGCAAAGAAGCGCCCCCCAGGTAAGACAGGCGAAGAGACGGGATCCGGGGACTGTCAGGAGTTTGTGTTGTTGTGTCTTAGGAAGCAAAGGGAAAGGGGACAACTGGTATGGGTCTGAGGAAGGGGAGATTAAAACTCCTACCCCTCTTGGGGGTAGCCTAGGAAACTGAATTCCTCCGCTTGATCCCAGAGCTGAGTTCTCTCCCATGAGGAGGCTGAGCTTCAGCCCCCCATCTCGAAACACTTGCGCTCTTATCCTGGGGCACCTGCACCTCCTACTCTCCGGCCTGGGGAGCTGTGTTCTCAACTCTCCTCCATCCTCTCGCCTCCTTGCTCCCCTCATTTTTCTATCCACCCGGTTCTCCTCGGGCAGGGGGTGGCGTGTAAAAGCGGTTGCCGGCGACAACGCTGGCAGTCTGCTCACCCGCATTGGCCTGGCGGGCGGCGGGGAGAACGGAGGCGGGGCCCGGCGCGGGCTTTCGCCTACGCGGCGCGCTGGCAAGCCTCTGCCGCTGCCCCTGCAGTTGCGAGGGCGGGGGAGGGACGGGGGGCGGGCCCCGGGCGTGCTAGCAGCCTCTGGAGCCACTCAGCGCACGCCGGCGACTGCTGGGGGCATTGGGGGAGGTGGCAGTGGTGGTGGCGCTGCAGCCACTGCTGAGCTCGCGGGGTCCCGGAGCGCGAGTGCGGGTGGCGAGCTGTGAGGATGGCCTGGGCTGCGGATGGGGCGTGCGCCCGTCGGCCGGGGCCCCCCTCTGAACGGCCGCAGCTCTTCCACCTCCCTGGGGGTCCACCTCATCGGCGCCGCTGAGGCCCAAGGACAGACTGTGCCCTTCCCGGCTCAAACCGGGATCATGACGGTCCCCAAGGAGATGCCCGAGAAATGGGCCCTCGCCGGGGCGCCTCCCTCTTGGAGCCGAAAGAAGCCCTCTTGGGGGACAGGTAACAGGAGGCAGCTCCTGGCGGCTTTCCTGCGTCAACTTTTCCCACATTCACTTGTCCTCAGCCTCCACTAACCTTCTCTGATGCTTCTAGACCCAGATATCTGGCTCCAAAGGGTCCGGTTTTTGCCTTCTTTCTTTGTAAGGTCTTTGGTGATTGTGCACAGGATTCAGCCCAAGGGGGCCTCTTTAGGGAAGTTTCTGCAGTAAAGTGGCTTGGAGGCAGGGGACACCGTGGCCTGGGGTTTTGTTACTGCAGTGTGCTCTGTAGGGGGGGTCTTGGGGTGATGGTGCAGAAAGGGGTCTGGCATGCTGTCTTTGGCTCCCAGACAGGTTTATGGCATGTTTATCGCCTAATCATGTTAGGTCACAGTGACCCCCAGGGGATGGACTGGGGAACCCTTCAGAGGATAGCCCCTCTGTGTTTTGGGACCTGAATTTGGTGCCTGCAGTTATAGACCTGTGAAGGTTCAGGATAGGTGTATAGCTAAATAGGTACGACTAACTGCATGACAAACGAGTGAGCCCTTTAAGGGAAATGTGTGCAGATGGTACCGGAAAGGTTACAGTTAGAGAATAACTGTTTCAGTTACATTTCATTCCTCCCTTCATCTCTGTCTCAGTCTGCATAACCCATATCCCTGACCCCCCTCTTCTACTTGAAGATGAGCTTTGAAATAAGGTGATGTCACTGTGGGCCAGTCAGAAGCTGCTGCTGGTGACATGTGACAAGCAGAGGCTCCTGTAGGGAGACTGCACGTGGGGCTTGGATGCTGCCGCAGAACAGTTCCAGGGCACAGTGACCCTCCTTGCCACCTCCCATACTCCCTGGATTAAGGGGAGAACAGTGCCATGGCTAGACCTGCAGTGGCCCTTGGAGAAGGAAGCTCTGTGTCTTGATTATGCCAGTGGGTGCATTAATAATAGCAGCAAAAGGGTCTGTTGATTCCCAAGACCGTTAACTGCTGAGATTCCTCCAGAGAGAGAGAGACACACACAGACACACAGGCTGACTGCCCCCAGTGGAAGGTCTGGGAGGTTGGTGGTGAAGAAGAGAGAGCACGTCCTGTTCTGTGAGTGCGAGCTGCAGAGTGAGACCTGCAGAGCCGTGTAGTCAAGCAGAGAAGAGGGAAGCACTTAATGACACCTCAGTGTGGACCTAACTCCTTAAACTATATTCTATGGAAAGAACCAGAACCCCCTCCCCCCCAGAATGTCCGTGCAGGCCTCAGTGTGCTCTTCTTGACTTCAACATCATTCTGTTGCAGAAGAAGAAAGGAGGGCGCGGGCTAATGACCGAGAATACAATGAGAAATTCCAGTATGCGGTAAGTGATTCTAGACTACCTGATCTGCCTCTCTGAGTTGGAGAGAGGACAGGTGCAGGGACATCCTCAATTGTGACTGAGGGCTCACTGGAAGGAGCTCTGGGGGAGGGGAAGACAGCTTTCTCAGTCATTCTTTATCTGCTATTGTGCTTAATTTGTCCTGCCTTCACCTGTTGGTGACCCCATGAAACTCCTGTCACTCCTCTTTCCCTTACCTACACCTGTGCTTGCAGGGTTCTAGGGCAAAGGTTTCAGAAAGTGTGAAGATGGAGGAGCCAGCCTCAATCTGGTTCTGGGTTGGGATTGGAAGGCTGCCTCATTATCTTCTCTTCCATTGTCACAGAGTAACTGCATCAAGACCTCCAAATACAATATTCTCACCTTCCTGCCTGTCAACCTCTTCGAGCAGTTCCAGGAAGTTGCCAATACCTACTTCCTGTTCCTTCTCATTCTACAGGTGAGTGACTTGTAGTAGACCCTTATGCAACTCACAAAACTGAAGGAAGCCAAAGAAGAAGAGGTCTAGGGGAAAAAAGACATAAATGGGTCCTCAGAGGCATGCTTCTCTTTCTTCTTTTCAGTTGATCCCACAGATCTCTTCCTTGTCCTGGTTCACCACCATTGTGCCTTTGGTTCTTGTCCTTACCATCACAGCTGTTAAAGATGCCACTGATGACTATGTGAGTTGTTTTCAGTCTTCTACTTTTTCCCAGTTGCCCCACCTCACCCCAACTCAGCCACTACCACCCAGCATAATTTCTCAGTGACCTTGACATCCTTATCTGGTCCAGCTAAATCCATGTTGTCTTTGCCAAAGGCAGGAAAGAGGTAGAGGGGAGAGTTGGTCTGTGAATGGGGGTACCTAGCATGCTAAATTCCACTGATCATGTAATTCTCTTGGAGTGGGAGAAGGTGTCTTACCTTTCTCAGTGTTCTTCTTTTCAGTTCCGCCACAAGAGTGACAACCAGGTGAATAACCGTCAGTCTCAGGTGCTGATCAATGGAATGTGAGTGCCTATTGGAAAGAAGGGCTCAGGAGGAAGGGGGTCTTCTGGGAGCCTCTCTAGCTACTGACAGTCTCTTCACTGTTTTCTTATTGCCTCAGCCTCCAGCAGGAGCAGTGGATGAATGTCTGTGTTGGTGATATTATCAAGCTAGAAAATAACCAGTTTGTGGCGGTAAGGGTCAGGCCTGCAGGGCTCTTTCTTCTCTTT